CCATCTTCATTAAAAGGCATCAGATGACAAAAACAAGATCTTGAAGAATTTCTCAATAATGTGCCTTGGTCATGGTAGGTAATACGAAGAAAAAGTAAAGTGTTACTGTTTCTTATTTGTAGAAGGTTTAAGAGGAAATACCACAACATAATGAACTAATTCATCACAATACCTGAAAATTTTGACTTCACTTTTTTGAAAAATGAAATTGTCTTTCCTTTTACTCCCAATCATCAATCAAATATATTTTCTTGAATTACGAATAACATGCATGGATTGAAATATTTAATTAAATTTTCTCAAAATAAACCTTCATTTCTGTGCAATATTGAAATTAGCTTGAATTCTTTATAACCTTATAATAGTGGGTTACCCAACGAGTCACGGGTTGTCTAGTACATGTTTTTAAGTTTCTGCCTTTGCTGATTATCATGTCATTTCACCTTTTCTGGTACCACAGCGTGTTTATTCCCCTGTATTATCCACACTGTTCTGCCTCTTTGTTGTTCTTCACCCTCCTCACCACTCTCATACCTGACTGTGACCATGGTGGAGAGTTGCATACTCTTACTCGTGCCCTGTTCAAGCCATTGGCTTCTTGCTTTTATACCGTCTTTTTCCACAGACTTCATTTTTCCTCCTTCTCACATACACTTGCTATTGTTCTGTTGTCTGTGCTCTTTGCTAGCTCTGGGATGGGCTAGCTCTCCAAGTGGGCATGTGGACAACTTTCCACATATTCATCTCTTTTTATCTACAACATCTGGCTGTTTTGTCTCCAGTTGGATTTTGGCTTCCATCTGTTTCCATTCTTCAATCACCTCACTGTCTTTGAAAAGATTATGTACAATTTTTTTTTCAGAGCCCTTTCTAATTTCACAGGATCCTACCAAGTGGCTGGTGTTGCCTTCCAGGATATACTTACTCAAAATGTGCATCGAACAGAGATAACTGAAAATGCTAATACCACCTGCCTTGGGCCTACCAGTGCTCCCTGCGAGATGGGGGTTCTTTAAAATCACTTGAGGTATCCCTGTGATACACATATTTACTCAATTGATCGATCCAGATCTTACCTATTCCATTGACCATCATGAAAAAAAGCCAGGTTTAGGGAAGTGTTCTGCCCACTTCTTTGACTCATGCTTGCTGGCTAAATGGGTTTTGCCAGCCACTAATTTTCCTGTCTCCATTTAAAGACCAGTTCCTAGCCACTGGGGTTGTGAAACCTCATTGGTTTGGGTTAGCACAATACA